TTTATATACACATGTATGGTGTCTTCTCGCTTGACTAATGCAATCGCGACCTCTGCCTCCCGGTGATACGTTTTTCGCGTGTATATGGGGGTTGGTACATGTGTATGTGTATATACGTGCAGGGGCCGAGGACACGAATCTCGGCCAAGAATCTCCCCGCGGTTTTTTTTGCGCCCCGCGCGCAGTGTGTCGTCCGGGAGGAGCGCGACAGAGCCGAGTTATGCGTTATTTATGCACCGGACGCACGAGACAAACTCCGTACTTACACAACGGCGGCCGCGATGAAAGCCGAGGATGGGCCTCGGGCGTGTGCGTGAGAGAGAGAGAGAGAGAGAGGCAGCTTCTTGTTGTTATTTTGTATCTTTTCTCGCGAGCGCTATGGGACCTCGAAAAAGATAATGGAGCCGGGGCGAGTAGAGCGTGGGTGGAGTTTGGTAGCTCGGGTGCGCGCTCTCTCTCTCTCTCTCTCTCTGTTGCTCCCATCCTTTCCGCGCGAGTTTATTAATTAGCTGCTACGCAGTTATGCCGGGCATTCGAGTTTGATGTAGTGCCCCTTTTGTGCGAGATATTCGAGTTGATGTTGCCGAGCCTCGTGCGCCGTGGATGCAAATCCATCATACGCGTGTTTGTTAATTTTTCTGGGTTTTTTTTTTTTTTTTTTTTTTCCTTCGAGGAGCATGTAAGCCAAACTTTTTCAACTGCGTGCGCACAGTTATTTGATTTGAAGCTGTTGGGATTGTTGGTTCTGTTGCGCGTCACGATGAATAACGAAGTTGGCCAAGTTTCAATAAAAGCACCGCTTCTTATATGGTCATGGGGTTAAACAGCTCAGATTGTAGGGTCACGTAGGATTAAGGGGTTGAAAATCTTAGTGACATTTTGTTGAGCTCAACGTTAAATTCTTCGGGACGGCTTTACTAATAATAAGAAAGTTATCTAAATTACAAACAAGTAATCAATACCAATTTAAAACGTAAACGATAATTCCCGTCAACTGAGGAGGTAAGTAATACATCCTAATTTCTCGATAGGTCTTCCTTTTTCAAACAGAGCGAGCGGTTTGCTTCTCCCTTTTGATTGATCGTATACTCATTATCCGTCGAATTGATAAATTTTCGTTGAAGAAATTATAGCCTCTCATGACGATTATTTTCAACATCTAAAATTTGTATCCATCATTGGCAAAAAGTACCTTATTTTTGTTATTTTATGTCGGTTAAAACGTTTTTCAAGTACTCTATTAGTCTCAGCATCTTGAAACAGGTGGACGGACAATCACTCCAAGTTGTAACATTAGTTTGGTCACTGTTCTCCATCCACAGAGAAATAACTTGATTCAGGATGAGGTAAAAACGAAAAATCGTCCCCCAAAAAACTCCCATCAAAAACACACCCTGGCGCTAATCGCGAGCGCCATCAATTTGCCCTCTAAACGCGTTAAACCTCCAACAGCAACGCCACCCCCCATACACGATCAATCTCAATTCGTCCGAGCGAGCACTCGTGTACCCCATCCATATACGTATACACAGACCCCACATCGCAACTCAACGGACATCCATACCATCCCGATTTGTTACGCGAGCACGTTCTCTTTCTCTCTCTATCCCCTAGTCTCGGTCCGCCTGCACATTCGTCTTCCCCGTACACGCAACATCACGATGATGATGCTGCCGGGAGTTGCTCGAGAATCCCCGAGTCAACAGCTCGCAGAGGATAGTTCCCGGGCTTGGGATTGTTTACCGTAATTGGACGAATCAATCCGAGCCCTGCACGGATCGCTGCGAGGGGTCTCTCGTTATTATATACTTTGGCACGAGTGGGGGTGTATACATAGGAGGAGGTACAGTGCCCGCGAAGGTGCCGCAGAGTCGCGAAAAGATACAAAAGATGGTTACTCACGGATGGTGTTGGTTGGGCCCCTTTGGTAGCGATCTAATTATCGTCCCGGCGGGACGCCACCGACAAAATCGAGATCACTGGGGCTGCACGAAGGACCACCCCGCGCCACACACACACGCACACCCATAATACATGCTTCGCGCCAAGGTGCTCGTTCGTGAGACACGTGTACATAATATATAGGCTGATCGATGCGTCTCCTTTCTCCTTTCGCCTCGTATCGTTGTTGCATTTCTTTTCGGCCGAGTAGTTGTTCGCGGATAGATGGGCCCCTTTTTTTTTAGGGTGGGTGATGTTTATTTGCCTTTGGTGGTTTTTTGCCTCGATGTTGATGGATAACGCCTCTAATGCTCGGCGAAGCCAACACCGGTCCCGCGTCCATCGGCGTTATACGGTTAATTCGATCGTGGACGTTTTTTTCCCTTTTTTCACATCCACTCTTCAACACGTGGTATTTTCGTTTTTCTCTTTTTTTTTTTTTTTTCGATCAACCGGTAGGTAATTTTCTCGGCAACATCAGACCCAGGAAAATACCATAGAACTCGCGAGTACATCTTTATACATAAATAACAAAACCCGTGAGGGCTGATCTTTACCGTGAGCAACAAAAACGGTACTTACTGCGCGAAAGTTCGCACACTCGTAACGGTATATATCATAAGTGTATGCGCCATTGCATACAATAGATAAGACGTATTTCGCACGCGTGTGTTGGTTTCCATTGGGCACTCTGGGCCCCGTATTATCAGCGAGTAATTTGTTTTTTTTTTTCTCGTTCGATTTTACGAATCCATTTACACGTACGCATATCTTTGCAACTATCCTTTGTTTTACGTATCGATGTTTCTTTCTTTCTTTTTTCATTTTTCATTCTCCGTACAATAATAACGACGATGGCAGTTAATCACGTCGAGCTTCGCAAAAAGAAAAGAGAAAAAAAACGATCGACAAGCCTGCAAAGTGCAGTTCTCATTTATATACACGGTAAACTTGTTTCGAGAGCCAAAGGATAATACGCGTCGTATCGAATGATGAGCGTAAATTAAAACCCACAATGGCTCTCCTAAAAGCAAGACGTACACACACACGCACACACACTGCCCATAATATCCAGCAGCAGCAGCAGCAGCAGCAGCAGCAGCAGCGGTGATTCATGTTAATTTCGCGTGTATAAAAACAGGTGAATCCCAAGAATAGCTGCTTACACACGCTCATGTGTGGACGTGCTCAACCGGTTATTGTTCCGGAAGACAAGTCTCTCTCTCTCAGTGTGGGTATCCTATATAGAGGCCAATGAGCAAAAGAGAAAAGTGGCCGAGAGCACACCGCAGAAAAAGCTCTCTCCTCCCACAAATGAATGTACACATGGGTGTGGGTGTGTGTAAGTGCATTCGCGGTCCGGAAACGATAAACTCTTGAAAATCTCGAGTTCTCTCTCCCGGCCTCGATCGCGAGCTCACACGCGTTACATTCGTCAGGTGAGCGAGGGAGAGGGAGCGCGCGCGAGCATAAGGGCCGTAAGGTGATTAAGCGTGCCCCTCGTTCGCCGACGCGGCTCTCGAGAGCCTCCACAGATAGCGAGCCTTGAGAAGAAGAAGGAGGAAGAGGAGTCGGTCCGGAAGAAAAAACCAGTGCCAGTGTATGGGTATATGTAAGTATGTGCAGGGTATGCGGGTGGAGAGAAAGAGAGAGAGAGAGAGGCGACGGAGTTGGCTCAACACGTGGATGAACGAGCGAGAAATCAAGAAGAAGAAGAAGAGAATAAGAGGGTGGGGCAGGATTGCACACACGTGAGGATGAGGAGGGGTACACGAGGGCACACCAAGCGTACATGTATGTATATATGCGAGGTACAATATACCTGTGTACCTTTGGCAGTGAGTGCGCTTGGGCCCCGGTGACGGTCAGCCGAGCGCTCGCTGACCCCTGACCCAGCCGGCCCCTCCGCTCACCCACTCGCGCGCGCGTGCGCCTCTCGTACCTCGGCGTGGGCGACGGGGCCGCATGTTGGCCCGCGGGCGTCCCGAGACCGTGAGAACACCACCTATAATATTATTTAGTCTGCCCGTGCCTCACTCCCCCTCCTGCCCTTCTCACTTTTTCTCTTTCTCTCTCTCTCTCTTCCTCGATAGCGCCCGCTAACGGTCCTCTCGCTCGCTCTTCCTCCTCCTCCTCCTTCTTACCTCCTTGAGCACGGCATCAGCGGCGAAAGACTGTATATATACGTTTTGCCATACGGTGCTCGTCCTCGCTTCTTGTGTCTCTCTCTCTCTCTCTCTCGCTCGTCTGCAATGGGCGCACCTCATCTCTCGCTATACTTTCCTTGCTTCGCTGTATAATATATACTCTCGCGCACTTACTCTCTCCATACTATGCGCTTATGCACGTTTGCGCGCTTACGGGTGTACTTATATATACCTGGGCCTTGCCTCACTCGTTGCGCCCGTGCATTAATTGCCGTCGTAAATTATTGCCCGGCGTGTATGCATTCGAGTACACTCCAAGAGAGCGAGAGAGGGGTGGGGAGAGGCCCATCGTCGTTCGGCTGTGTCGGTGCCCCGGTTTCGGAGACTCCCGACGCCCGGCGTCGCGACGCGATCGGCAAGAGAGAGGGGAGGGGGGGGACTGCGGGGCCTTATTCCCAAAGGGGTGGGGGAAACTTCGGGGCCCAAGCGCGCTCGCCTGGCTCCAGCCGCTAGGTGGCTCCACCAGCAGCGGCCAGCGCCGGGGTCCGCGTGCAGTTGCCGAGCCGCCACGGCCAAGCGAGCATCTTCCGTGTCGGTCCCCCGCGCAATAACCCCCGTTTTCGTCGACCAGTGCTTTTCACTCTTCCCCTCCCCCCTCCCCTTACTCCCTTGTAACGAAAATTGCAACGGCACCAGCAACGACGACACCTGGCCCTCGCACTGTCCCCGGGCCGCCTCGATGCCGGCGTGCTGCACCAGCCGCCCGCAGCAGCACCTCCGAGCCGTGACAGCCCGCAATTGCGTTGACCGCGTCGTGCAGTGGAGCAACGCCCGTGAGCCGTTGTTGTTGTTGTTGTTGTTGTTGTTATTGTTGTTATCGTTATCGCCGCCACGAACAGTGAAAGGGACGACATGCAGCAACCAACGGAGCACGGATCGACGGACCAGGACGCCGCAGCCCCGTCAGAGCCCACTGCCTCGGAACCGGTGCAGGCCGGCCTCTCCAACCTCACGCTGCAGAGCGTCTCGCTGAGCCTGCAAACGGCCCTCCTCGCGGCCCTCCAGCGAGCCGCCCTCCTACCCCCGGGCCACGCGGCCGCCGCGGCCCTCAACCTCCAGGCCCTCGAGACCTACGTGACCCTCCAAAGGCTCCACGCCAGCGGGGCCGCGGTTGTCGCCGCCGCCAACACCACCAGCGCCCCGCCACCCAATGCCCCCGCCACCCCCTCCTCCTCGTCGTTGTCGTCGTCACCGTCGTTGTCCGGCCCGAGGAGTCCCAAACTAGAGTCCCAACAGCAATTGGCGAGCTTGCAGCTGCTGAGAACCGGGCCGAGCACGACTTTCGTCGTCGACGACGAGGAGCACTCGCAGCTCGAGTTCGTGCCTGCCGAGCCGGACGACGAGCTGGCCTTGCTCGAGGAGGAGGAGGCAGCGGCGTTTTTGCGCGAGGCAGCGGGACCGGCCCTCCTGGGGCACGAGTTGTTGCTCCATCGGATAGCCGAGGCGGCGAGCCAGTCGGCCTTGCCGGTCGCCGGTGGTGGTGCTGCGGCGTCGCCGGGTGGATCGGCGAGTCCCTCGCGGGTGGTGCAATCGGTCCCACAGTCGGTGCAGGCGAGCTCGACGAGCGCCGATACTGGGGGCCTCCTGCTACCCTCGAGGGCGTGCAGGGCCTCAAGGCCCAAGAAACAGTTCATCTGCAAGTTCTGCAATCGGCAGTTCACCAAGAGTTACAATCTACTCATCCACGAGAGGACCCACACGGACGAGAGGCCCTACTCGTGCGACATATGCGGCAAGGCCTTCCGTCGGCAGGACCACCTCAGGGACCACAGGTGACCACATTTTTCTTCCTTTTTTACGCTCCCTTGCGTCTGTTTGATCGGTAACTTTTTGGGACCAACGTGCTTTCGTGGTGATTTCAACGCGTGACTATAGAGATATACTTGTTTTGGGATTCGCTCTCTTTTTTTTTTTTTTTTTTTTTTTTTTTTTTTTTTTTTTTTTTTTTTTTTTTNACTTTTGTTTTTTCTTTTTTTTTTTTTTTTTTTTTTTTTTTATTTATACCCGATGGCTCGGTACGTGCAACGCGATTATGTGCACGGTAATTGAAAAGCCGATTGTTCGGATGCGCGTCGAGAAACGCCAGGTAAGATTCTTGGGGATTAATTAGGCGCGAGTAGTTTTCGTGTACGGCTCCGGGGTGTCGGGTTTCAGCCGGGGTATATCGAAACCCGATACAATTGCCATCGGCTTCGAGGAGTATACGGGCTATCGGTGAAATCTCCGAAAGAATCGGATACCCATATATACTTACGCCCCCCAAAAGAGTATAAAAAAAGAAAAAAAGGAGAAGAGTCAACCCCCCCTCCACTTTCCAGGCCAACGCGTCGAACGTGTTTGTTTGTCTTCTGATTCGCAGGTACATCCACAGCAAGGAGAAGCCGTTCAAGTGCGCCGAGTGCGGCAAGGGTTTCTGCCAGAGCCGGACCCTGGCCGTCCACAAGATCCTCCACATGGAGGAGTCGCCGCACAAGTGTCCCGTGTGCTCCCGGAGCTTCAACCAGCGGAGCAACCTCAAGACCCACCTGCTCACCCATACCGACATAAAGCCATACCATTGCGCCTCGTGCGGCAAGGTATTCAGGCGCAACTGCGATCTGCGCCGGCACTCGCTCACCCACAACCTCGGGGCGTCGATGCTGGCCAACTCGCCCCCGTCCTCGTCCGCCTCGTCGGCGCCCAACTCGCCCGGGCACGTCGGGATCGTCGTCGTCGCGGCACAACCGGCGTCCGTCATGCAGGAGACCTCCTAGCGCTCCGGGGGACCTTTTTCCACGGTGTCATCTCTATCATGATCCCGCGATGTGCGTGGCTTTTCTTTTTTTTTTTTTTTTCATTTGGTGCGTCGTCTAAGTACTACGGATGGACACTGCAGCTCATGTTTAGTTTGTAATCGTCTAGTCGTTTAAGTGAAAATTATCCATTTCCCCCCTTTGTCTGTCTCTCTGCGTCATTGTGGTCCATTTCGCGCCATGCCGTGCCCGAAAATCGAGTTCCGAATCTCCGAGTTGTACAAATAACGATAATATCTTCGGACGCACGTCACGGAGCGAACAAAAAAAAAAAAAAAAAAAAAAAGCGTAAGATAATACTCAGCGACTCGACGCGTCATCGCAAACACACGGAAACGAATCCATATAGTGTGCGAGTGTGCGTACGCGTGTGAAAATGAAGGAGGAACAGGAGCGACGACTGCAAAGTCCTCTCGGGTGTCCGTTGCCTTTCTCCATATTATTGTTAGTTTTTAAGTCATTCCCTCGTCACCGTCACTCTCATTATAAACATATAAATATATGTTCGGTGTGGGTGTAGCGGCGCGCGTGTGTTATCCTTAAGAATCTAGGCTCGTGCTTTCAACGATACATACACATCATGTACTTACATACATTATAAATATATATAATATATATATATGTTATATAAAAGCGAACAGACAATTGTGACTTAATCATATATATTATAAGCGCGTGGTGTAAAAATGCGCAAAAATCACGTGATAGATCTGTGTTTTCGTGTAAGTGTAAAGATGTAATAATTACTTTTCTTTATTGTTTAATCATTCCATTTTTTTTTTTGTTTTTTTTTTTTTTAAATTAATCATTACGTACACATACTATATGCATTAAAATATAATCTGATTTTCATGGGGTAAGCCCCCACTCTCCCTCTCTCTTTTTTTGTCCCTACATACGTAAGCAAACTGATGATACAATGTACATAAAATATGCAATGATATACTGCGCGTGGTACCGCGTCAAAGGACACGAGGCAGAAAACAAAAATGGCAATAAAGCATAATGATAATCACACAAGCCTTCCGGCGCGTTCGATTTATTTATTATTTTCATCCCCGTCGTCGAGGCGAGTCCTTTTGTAACGTATGCTCCCTGCTCCTATATGTATATGTTTGGCCACACGCGAGAAAAAACAAGTATCGATGCTAATTTGTACGCGGCCTACGGCATCGTTGGTCGGATATCGTCTCTTTTCCCGCGCTGACAGCATTCTAGGCGCAAGCCGGTTCGGCAGCACATTAGACCGCAGAGATGTGCGTGTCCGGCCCGAGGATATATTATATTATGTGGGCCCTAATTAATTGGGTCCACTTTCAGCCGCCTAATTTCTTTATCCACGAGCACGTGTATCTATATTTTTTTTCTCCCCCGTGTTTTTTTATACCCCATCGACATTTCAAACGCTATTGTGCAACTGTAACGTGACAGTATGTGTATTATTAACATTTTGTTGGTAAAAATCGACTTGGGCGAGAGAGTTGATCCAACGTATTGACCGTACCATCAAACGTGTATGTATACATGGATACGCATACATGATACAACACCCAGTGCGCATCAGGTCTCGCATGAACGAAAACGCGTAAGTATCGTGTTACAAAGACAGAGCCGCCCAGGTGCTCGCGGACATGATACCGAGATGCGTTTAGGGTTACCTTTGACTCGCTCGGCCCACCCCTCCCTGCCCGCTGCTTGTGCCCTGCTTTTATCTCTCTCTCTCTTTTTTTTTTTTTTTTCGCTATCCTCCTCTGTTGGTCCTTTTTATCCGTTCTCGCCTTCGCTCTGCTCTCTCCCGCGCGCACGTCTTCTTCCTTTTCTTTTTTTGTTCCTCTCCTGCTCGAGCGATAAACTCGGAAGAAGATATACCTAAGCATTCGGGTTGTTGTCTCTTGCGCCGCGTTTGACTGCTAAGCAATCTTTCTCTCTGTACTTTTTTTTTCATTTATCTCTCTCTCTCCTTCGTTCGTTGGCAAACCGTTTTCAGAGAGTGATTTTTCTCTCTCCTTCCCGAGAGCAACAGCAGCAGTGCCAAGGCAATCGGACAAGCGCCTTTCCACGGAACAAGCGGTTTCGCGCGTTTCCACTCGCTTTTGAATAGGCCAGCTCTCGCTTTGCTTTTGTTCTTCGTGTTTTTACATGTTTTAACTTTGGGCGTACCTTACACTTTGTTGGACTAGATCGTTCGATGCTCTGATTAAAGTACTGTGGTTACGTGGGACGTGTATACATACAAGAGATTTAGAGGTGCTCCATGTGTTCTTAAAGTTGATCGGAACTTTTGTGTAGGACCAACCAAGGTATACCCCATTATTTCATGATATCAGTAAGATGTGATGATGCAATAAATTGACCAGCAAAACAAAATGTGCCTCTTTATTTTAAAACCCATTGAATCGTTTGTAACGAGTTTATTATCTTGTGCCATTTAGCCCTCAACTAAATGGAAAAACATAATTTTCAATCCCCCCAAACATATACGTACAGGTACATGTACAAAGTAACCGTTGCACTGATTCGAATCCAATCCAATAATCGAACAAAAAGTCTCAATCGTAAACGCATTACATGACTGATATATATCCGCGGAACATCACTGGGTACAGGTAGTAGTATCGTCATACATCAAAACTTGTCGGGGGGGGGGGGGGGGCATAATGTGGAGCAGAGCGTCTGGGCGAGCGGTTAATTACAGATGACGACGATGAGAAATCGGATCGTACCCAGAGACGAACAGAAAAATGGGAGTAGAAAAAAAAAACCACATTCGTGGGCGTCCGTGTAATTCATGACTCGTCTAAAAAGTCAAACCCTGAGCGATCGCTGCCGTTGCTGGTGGGGGGGAATGATACGCGTATACGGATTACCGGATCGCCCATGAAAAAATACGGGTAACGAGCACACCGGACGTGTATGCAAATGTATGCACTTTTTGGTGCAATTCGGAAGTAAGCTGTTTACTGACTCGGTTGCGTTGGAATCTTGCTGGGGGCGAAAAAATTCTTACTCCAACGCGTACGACGTTAACTTACGCGGCAGTACGGCCCACGGGCTTGTGTTTGATTCTAATGTGTACACGAGTAGCTGCTTTATGTATAATATGCATCTTTGGTACTTTGTGCGGGTAAAAGTGATTTTTTGATGTTGAGAGTCATTTTTTTTTTATGAATCGCTCAATCCCTTACGAAATTCCATGTACTTGATGAACGAATAGTGACTTATGGCCATCCGGAATGAATTTGAATTATATATAGGCTGATTGGAAGAAGACTAAGATTTTTCAGTAGGCTTTCAAAGTCTTTGGGAGGATTATGCAATCTTTTTCAAGAAGTTGAGTGGTGCGCAGCCCCTTGGTAGGTACAACCAAGTGTTTCTGGAACAAATACATCACAGTATAGTAAAAATATAATTTCGAGCCCGAATGAAACAACATCACCAGATAGAACGGTGTATTTCATAGATTAGCCTAGAATCATGGGAGTACAACAGGCCGAACACACGAACTAAGAGAAATCTGTTCCAAAAAAGGCGTTACGAGAATCCGAAGCAACGGTACGTATGGTTACCGAGAAAAGACACTTTGGAAAAATTCATTATACAAGGAGCCACACGGAGAGCGATGCCGATAAAGATATCGCGCAACCGATCCCCGAACGATCCTCTCTTACTCTCCCGCGTGTAGCCACGACACACACCTATGAACATCAAATTTTCCAGATTTTTAACGACAAGCTCCTTCTCTTTTTCACGTAGAACATGACGTCGTTAAGTCCCTGCGCTCCAAACAGCCACTGCTTCTCGATTCGTGCACGCATTTATACACATTCTTGGACGATTCGTCGTACGTACGGCTGCATTTACAATAGACAACGCGACTGTACTTACGACCAAAACAAAAAAAAAAAGAAAAAGAAAAAGAAGATGTAATAGGCAAGATTAAGGGGTGAAGGCGGGGGTTGATGTGCTGCCACACGAGGCAGGCTCTTTGGTATTTTATACACCGGGAAATTCAAGCCGATGCAAGCTCGCGCGCACACGTTGGTATAGGTACACACCGTACTGAAGACATCGAGGTGGCGATGCGCTCGCATCAAGCAGCCGGCAGATTTTCTTGAGTGAGTACGTGGATATAGTAGTAGTGGTAGTCGAGTAACCAAAGATTCTGCGAGTTCCGCATGATCGGTATATATATATACGGTATATGGTATGGCTCGCATGCAAAGTGGCGAAGCAGCTTCTTCTCGCGGGTATATATATATATATATATATACCCTTAATAATGTACGTGCAACGCGAGATACGCGCAGAAGGACGGCTAACTATTTCGCATTAATTGAGTGACCAACGCTCGAAGACTCTCGGGTTCGTGTGTGTATACCGAGGCTGTTGCTTCAAGTACATTATTCAGAGGCTCGTTGCTGATGTAGTTGCTTGGATTTGTGGTGTGCCGGTTGTGTTTATTCCTTTCTATATTTATTTTCCCCCTAAATTTTTAAAAAACTGCTGAGAGATTTTTTATGCTCTATGATTTACAGGAAGCGAACGCCATTGTTGTAGTCCATTCATGAAAATTTCACGTGGATCTGAAATCACGAGTTCTGGGCTCCAATCCTTGACTCATTTTTATCTTTTTAAACACATTAACTACCGGCCCTCAGCTCGTAGATGAAATTTTATTGATTACTCGATGAAACGAGAGGATGGACAAATAAATATAACTTTTATTCGTACAATTTTTGTAAAGTAGCCACTCCAAAGATATAAATCACGGTTCATTTGTCTTTAATAGATAGAAGGAACGAGGAAGTAGGATCAGTTTCAGTCGTGCGCTAAACAATGGCAGAACTTGGTGATATAGGCGTTTAAAAAAAGTAGAAATTTGCATGTTGATACGAAAAAGGACAACTCGGTACAGGGGAGGGGGTGGTAAAGAGGAACTATATGAGTTACCCCTTAATCTA